GACGTTATCTTTTGTAACATTATGGGCCTGCTTGCGACCCGCGAACTCACACAGTAGCCGCGTACGTTGTAAGTATCGTTGTAAGTACGCGTAAGTATCGTTGGTAGCAGTTCGTGTTTTAGTTCATGTAAAGAAGGCGATGTAGCAGAGCGCGCCACCGTAATGGTCTCCACCACGTTATATGGGAGTTATAGGGCCCTGAGTATCAGGTTTATATTACACAAATCAAATGTTTTCCTTTTTGTGTCCTGATCGGACTTCAAAATTCAGAATGATTGGTTTTAATTTTGGATAGTCAGTGGTGTAACTAGCCGTTCCAGGGCCCCTGTTCATAAGCTAAATTGACCCCCCTCAAAAAGTTTTGTCCAACGAAAAAAAGCGTGGTGAAAACTAATTGAATTAAACTTAATTGATTACAATCAATCACAAAATTCAGAATCGGGCCCTGTGGACTTTCGCTTTGACGAACTTATCTAAAATGTCACCCGGGTTCACTTTTAACATCGTCGCATTACTCTCTATGATCAATATGCTAAAGTCCGCCAGTCTCTTCTGTCCCGGCGGATTTTTGCAGACAATTTTTGATAATTTTCAATTTTTTAAAAGATCGCTCTGTAGTCACAACCGTCATGAGGGTTGCTATAAACAGCAAGATTAAAGATCAGACGTCTGGAAAGCTAGCTGAAAGAGTGAAGTACTCGGTCAGAACCGAATTACCCAACTCTCTGATTGAAGGAATCTTCGAATTTCGATCTCTCAGCCAACTTCGCAAGGATAATTGCTGTGTGAACAGTTGATTAGGTACGTCATCAAAGTGATCTCCCCCATATATCAAAGATAGTTTTTACTTTTTTTAAATGAATCTAAAGTTTTATTACTGAATTTTTCGCAATGATTCGCAAGTTCTTACTTTGAAAGCTAAAAGAATGTTTGTGGCTGCTGCATGAGCGCAAACAAATCGGTTATTTGATTAAAGCCAATAAGTAGATAGCTCAGCTGACTAATCACAATATCTAAACTAGCGAAGTTAACATCAAATTATAATCGTTTTCGCCGTCAGATAACGTTGATTTTAGCACAGTTCTTTGAAATGACGTTTCGTTGTTTTTTACAAGTTTCTAGCTAAAATCGACTTTTACTTCCCATAATGTAGCCAACTCTATTAAGTCGGATTTGGCCCCGTCAAAGTCACCTCTAAAATCTTTTAGATCCTTGTGAGCTACTTCAATTATTTCCCGTACTCGGCAAAGTTCAAAATAAGATTTTTGCAGATTCTGACACACATTAGTCGCAGTCAATTTTTTTGAATACAAACAACTTGGAATACAAACTCGAATGTTCATTTCTTTTTACTTTCTCGCCCTTACAAAGTTACTTCGTTATAAAGGAAAGTTAAGTAATCGTGCGTAAAATGGCGAATTTTCGACAGAAAAATCTGACTGTCGGGCCTCATTTAAAATGTTAATTTTTTGAAATTTTTGGAAAAAAACAGCTGATAATGGGATTGGCACTACATTTTTTTACCGTCCTCGATTACTTTCTTGTGGACCCGTGTACGTACGTGTATATACGGAGTAATACAAGTACTTGTATACGTAGTAAAAAGAAATCTATATAATGCTGCGGAAATACAAGTTTTGGGGTCTGTCTGTTTATCTGTCAGTCTTTTCACACCACTAGAGCCTAAAACATACGTACGATTTTTTCCAATATGGATATTCCGAGGACGGTTTGTGCCCACTTGAGGCGCCGCAATTTTGAAAAACTCTCTTCAAAATTTGGAGGGACTTTGTATGAAGCTCCCCGAACATTTTCAAAATTTTCTCAAAAACAACTACAATTTTTTCTTTAAATTTCTTGTAAAAATAGAGTAAAATACACTTTAAAAGTTGGTATAGGTCCGATTTTCATGGCTAACATTGAATTATCAAAAATTTCAAAACTCAAAATTTTTTTCGGGCGTTTTCCTTCAACTACAATACTGCAGATAGATATTTTTCCTTCAAAAGAATTTTATTCTCCATAGTAAGTTCTTTCATTCTACATTTTTTGGAATTTGTAGGCGTTTTCGCGCAATATCGCGAGCAATATGTAAAATTTAAAAAAATACAAAAACAGGATTTACTCAAAAACAGCTTTAAATGTTTTCTTCAAAGTTTTCGAACGGTTTGTTATTAATTGCACTCTTTAATATAACGTAAATATCTTTTTTTTAAAATAACATACACTTTTTTAAGATCTTCCTCTCTTAATATGCACATTTTCAGTAATTTGTACACACTATTGCATTTGTGACTGCGCTTAAAATGACTTCAAATGAAGTGTTTTGAAATCTCAATAGATTTCTGTGAAAAGAGGTTCAAATTTATAATTCACAGCAGCACTTAAACGCCATTTGCTTCAAAGTGGCTTCAAATTGTTTGAAGAAAATTTCCATTTACGACAAAATTTTACTGTTCTTTAATATTCTTAAAATAATATTTCTGTTCAACTATTAGAAAACTGAAAAAGTCCGAATAGCTAGCCGAGACCAAATGAAAGTACGGGAAAGTCTGTGTAATTCTGTAGCAATACAAGTTATACACGAGAAGACAATTTAAGAAAAAAATTGGAGCAGCTTTTCAAATAAATATAAATAAAACCTGTCGCTATGTAATAGTAAATTACTTCCTTTAACACGTGGTGTAGCCGTAATCTATGTTTTGTGGGTCTTTGATACCAAAAAATAGGTTAACGGCAAAACGTCTGTCAGTCAACATCCAAACCGATTCGGAGCCGATTTTCTTCAAAATTGATCGATCAGAACGAAATCGAGGCTTTAGCAGTTTCAAACGGATATTTCAATTTTTGAGGTAACTTTACATGAAGCTTCATTTTCAATATCTTTAAAAAAAATGGTACAAAATATTTTTGTTACACTTTTTCCTTCGGATAAAGGACGCTTAAGCGAATGGTGTAGGTCTGATGTACGTTGAAATATTTTTTTTTAAATTGCCAAGTGTATTTTTTTGGGCGTCTTATTATAACTATAATATTGAAGATAAAAACATTTCTTAATTAAATATGTTCTTTCTGTTCACTAATGTATTTGTGAGTTTAAGTGAATATTTTTGTAATCTCAAAAATTTTTTGAATTTTGAATTTACAGTTAAGTGCCATTTTCTTAAAAACGGTTCGAAAATTTGTAAATCGATCTCCTCCCATTTTATTTAAATTCTATGTGCTCACATCTGTTTAATAGAATGAACTAGTGGTGCTACAGAATGGCACAGACTTTCCTGTATTACTTTTCTATTTCATTTGGTCCCGGCTAGCTATACGAACTTGCCATAAACTCTTCCCAGCTGACAGCTATTGCCACCCAAAGTACAGTAACGTTTTTTCGTGGTGAATTAAAACATACGCGGATAAAATTTTAAACAAAGACGCTTATTCGTAAAGAATGCTACACTAAAATTACTTCATTTATTTACAGATATTTTACACAGTCCTTGTGTTCTTCACTTGATTATTTTTCTTACACACGACTCTATTCTCTTGATTATTTATTTACGCTATTCACTTCTTCACATTATTCTCTTGATTATTTATTCACAGTTCACTTCTTCTGATTATTGAGTTTCACTATCGCACAGTCCGATGCACTGCCCCTGGTCCATTGCGCTGACCGCAATTCCCTGCGCAGACCTGGGACCACTGCGCTGCTATTTACCGCGATGCACACTTCACAGCTCAGCTTCCACTGCAGACTTCAAACTGCTGTTCACCCACTGCACCACTGTTCAACGCAATGCACACTTTAGAGCACAGCTTCCACTTCAGACACACTGACTGCTTACTACTTCTATCACTTGACTACATACCGACTCGTGGCCGCCGGCAGCTGCTAATTTATACCTGTCCGGCGCTCGTCTCGACACACGTGGCACTTCTCCACCTTTCCACGCAACTCGCGAATAACCTGGAACCGTCCAGTTCGGGGGAAGGGGGTGGGCGCCGGCAGATGACGCAATTCGCGCAGCGAATCCCGGCAGATGTTATAGTATGTATATTGCGGGGAAACTCCTAAAATTATTTTAAGAAATGTACATGACCGTAATGAAAGAAATATATATATATATATTCGTTACAGTACTTTTTTCAAAAGTTTCTTAATTTGTGGGTTTCCTAATGGTACAACGCAAATATTTTAAGAACATTAAAGAATAGTAAAACCATGTCCTAAATAGAAATTTTCTTTGAAAATTTTGGAGCCGGTTTTAAGAAAATGGTGTTAAAGCGCTACTGAAAATTCGAAATTTGGAGCTCCTTGTTACAGAAATTTTTAGTTTTTGAAAAACTTCATTTGAAGCACTTAAACTCACAATAGTGAACAAATTGCTGAAAATGTGCATATTAACGGCGTGAGAGATATTTAAATATATGTGTGTGTGTGTGTAATTTTTGAAAAATCAAAAAAATGACCATGTCATATTAAAGAGTACAATTAGCAGTATCAATTCGAAAAGTTTGAAGGAAAAATTTGGAACAGTTTTTGAGATAATGGCGTGCGTTTTTGAATTTTGAGGTAGTTGTCACAGAAAACGATTGAGTTTTCGAGAAACTACATCAGACATTATTAAAAGCACATTCACTCATAAATACAATAATGTGAATAAATCCCCGCTAATGTAAATATTAACGACATGAGATACAAGTCATACAAATTAAATTTTTGTATTTTTGAATAAGCAAAGGATAGAGCAAACTGATGTTTGTCATCTCATAGATTACATTTAGCACTATTCTTATCCAAAGTTTCAAAAAAAGTTGAAGCCGTTTTTGAGAAAATCTTGTTTTTGTTAATTTTTAAAATTGCACATATTGCACGCAATATTGCGGGGAAACTCCTAAAATTATTTTAAAAAATGTACATGACCGTAATGAAAGAAACCACTTTGGACAACAAATTTTATTTGAATGGAAAATCTCTAACTTCAGTTTTGAAGTTGTGGGAAGACGCTCGAAAAATTTGGAAATTCAGAGTTAACTGTGAAAATCGGACTGCGGGTGCCAACTTTACAATCCCTAACTTTTTAAACCTTAATTTTGGAAGGTTGTGGCGTAATAAATATTTTTGAGTCACTAAGGAGCCCAAAATTATGGCGCAAGAATTTTTGAGTTTTGAGAAATTGGGGTGGTCTTGATTTTTTTTTTTCTTATGTTAATATGGGCAGCAATTGCTGTACATCAAAACGTACCAGTTTCTATGTGCGAGCTGTTGTACAGTTCTTTCATACATACGAGGAAACATTTCAGGTAAAAATTTGAAGCCCTGTTTTTTGAAAGAATTGTCTTGAAACAATAGAATCTTCAAAATTGTTTTGTAGTTGTAGAAAGACACCGAAAAAATATTAAAACTTTTATAATTTTCGAAAAATAAGGAATTTGTTACTCATTTAATTCACAGTCCCACGTATGTTGCCAGTAGTCAGCATTTCACGACTGGGATGATTCTCTGCTGATGAAAATACCTGGAGAATAAACCTGTAAACTAGTAAGTCACACTTCAGCAGGGGATCAACACTGCTGTCTTTGGGGGGATATGCCATGCACTACACTTACGGGATAAATTAAGTAGTTGACATGCTCAGCAACTGTACTCATCCAACATTTTAATTGAACTCAATTTATTTAAAATAAGTACCACATATTAATCACATCACATTTCATTGCATTTGCATTGTATTTGCATTGAATTTGGTTGGGCGGGGTTTCAAAAATGTTCTAAATTTTGTGTTCCTAACACGGGTGCATGCGTGGGTGCATGAGCAAGCGTGGTTGAAATTACTTCTGCTTTGCAAATATTCATTGATTTTTTTATTTTTAGAATGCAATTTCTAAGAAGTCAGTGATAAAGTTTGACAATTCATGCCAAAGGCACAGAGGTCATTTAAACACAGTAGTAATTTCCTTTGTTTCACAGAAAGACAATTCCAGAAACATTAATTTGAAATATTTAGTCGCATAATATTTTGTGTACATGTAAATATATAAAAACGTAACGAAATATGTAGTAATAGGGATATTTTGTAAAAGTATGTGAACATACTAGTACTAAAAGATGTAAAATGAAAGTATTTTTTAATGAATTAATATTATTCTGAATATGATGGAAACTAAAAACATTATTGAAAGCAGTTATCTTCAACCAGAGAAAACATGTATTGAATTAAAAATTAGCTTTCTTGAGAATCCAGAGAGAAGCCGGGACAGGAGATTCACGGGTGGGGGTGGGGTGGGGTGGGAGGCACATACTTAAAAGAAAAGTCCTCTTCCCTGCACAAAAGAATTCATTCCTCCATGCTCCAGAAATTATTGATAGCGGTTAATTTGAATTAGAAGTATATACATTTTTCATCAGTATTGAATGAAAAATTTTCGGAGCCCCAATTAAGTCAGGCATGGGGCAAGTTGCCCCTGCTCTCAACCTTTCTACGCTATCCCTGAACTGCAATGCAGTACAATTTCACAGAATCATCTGCAGGGGCATTTGTACTTGTGGCCTTGGTAGTAGCAATGCCGCACATTCATAAATGGGCAGAATGATTGTTATTTACACATCAAGGCCAACAAGTAAATGGTTTTCAGAACAGCAGTCATCATTGTCAGTACTGTCCTACTGATCCAACTTGAGTCAACAGTGTAACAGTTGATTTCCAGCAATTTTTCACTCATTATTTAAGGCTCTGCAATATCGAAGTTTAGTAGTATAATCAAAGACAAGGGATATTAAAGAAAACAACAATAGGACCTCTCTTGATGATGTTCGGAATTTGCAATCACTGTTTTTTGAGAAAATATGTACGTAAATTCAAAGCTTGCTTGAGACAAAACAACTATCACTGGTTGTTATTATTTGCAATAATTATTTATTGTTTTAAGGCAACAATAATGCTGTTTACACTATATTAATTTAATGGTTATGTTAGTTGTGAAAAATTAATTCAAATACCAACTTTCAACGAAACGACAAACCAAAACATTGTGCAAACTTCCTTTAAAGACGAACTCTGCTGATCAATTTTGAAAAAAGTTATTTACAGCAAAAAATTCGTTTTTACTTTTTGTCAATGTCTCAAATTGAGGTTTTAATGTGCATCTTCAATACTAGCAATATAACCCTCCATTAATTTACTAATTAAAATGTATTCAGTGGAAGTTCATAACAAATGTATATGAAAATTAAAGTAGATAGTCAAGTTCTTACATAAGCGCTAAAGTTCATAAAAACTCAATTTTATGGATGATTAACAATACAGAAATAACTACTGTAAGAGCCAATAAATGAATTCATTGCAGTGCAACAAGGGAAGTGATACAAATGAAGTGAAGTAAGAATTTCAATCAGAATGCCATCAGTAATAAAATAGAAAAAGTATAATTGCAAGTTGTATTATTCTTCCTTCCTAATTCATAGCACATTCACAAATTACAGAATATTCCTTTAACTTAAAGTTCTCAGAATTAATTGCAAAAGATAATTCATACTAAATACAGTAAATACATATTGAACATTTTCTAGAAGATGTGGATGAAAAAATTCCATTACCATAAAAAGTTCTCTCTTACAAAGCAGTTCTCTCTTCTAAACAAAATCCTAAGTTTTCCTTTTAGTAATATTGAAAATTTAAGTTCTATGTCATTGAATCAATTGAGGCATCCAGTGAAAGAGGGAGCTAACCCACAAAATTCAAAATATTGATTTATGAATGCATTGAATTATGAACACATTGAATATGTAAATAACAATAATAATAATAATAATAATAATAATAATAATAATAATAATAATAATAATAATAATAATAATGATGTTTGAATTTTGTGAGTTGGTGTCCTCTCTCACTGGATGCCTCAAATCACCAAAGCTCTGTTGTTTTCATCACAGCCATTTCATCACTTGAAGGCATAGCCATAATGGATTACAGATAACTGATTGTGTATCTTCAAAATATTAATCTTTTAGGTTGTGAAACTGGAAAAGATAAGCAGAACAATTTTTAGAACTAGGTCAAAATTATACATAACAATTGCTCAACACAGGAAACTCAATGATACAATCCTAAATTGCTTTAAATTTTGGACAAGCTACAGCATAAATCATAATTAGAAAAGTACCTCCTTCCAAAGAATCCATCAACTTTCTCTTCAATGTCGGTTTATTAACTCCAACATTAGGCTGAATGCTGGATGGTAGAGGCAGCTGGCTTCCAGGAGACGGATATGGTTTGTTGCTATTGAAATTAAAACAACAATTTAAATTTTCTCATTTTAAAATGACAAATACGGATAGAGAATACTTTAGATCTTACCTGAAATAAGCCATTCTTAAAGCTTTTTCACAAGTACATCTCTTCAAAGGATAGAGAGATAAAAGATTCTCAAGCAATTCAAGCAAATCATCACTTGCAGCAGTAAAAATATGCCTGAATGGTGTTCCAGGGAAAGATTTGAATTGAATGTAGTCTGGTAATGCTTCCATACCCTAAAACAAACATCTTTTAAGATTATGGTTGACCTAGAGTAAGAATAAGGAGTTAAGGACAGAGGAGAGAGGCTGAAACAATGAAAGAACATTGCAGACATTTTCTCATACAAAGAGACTACTTACGGGCCAAACTAGCTCTGTAGGAGTACCCAAAGCTTGAAATATTCTTGTCAACTGATCCAAGTCTGATTCGCCAGGGAGGAAAGGCACTCTGAGCAAAAGCTCTGCCAAAATGCAGCCCACTGCCCACATGTCCACTCCAGTGCCATAAATGCGAGCCCCAAACAGCAACTCGGGCGATCTGAATACAACAAATACAAAACACCTATTTCATTGCACACTGCCTCTTTCTTGGTACTTAGAAGCTAACTTTCATGCTCAGATGTATCCTCACCAGTCGCTCAACCAAAAATATTATGGCTGTGTTTACAAAAAGTTATGAATATTTCTGTATTTTCTGAAAACAAATCTGATTTCAGTTAAAGCTCAGACAATAAATTTGATGATGATATTTTATCGCCCACGAAACACTTTTTTTTAGCAAAACGTGTCAAACAAAACCATCCAATATCTAAATTAACTCTCTGTGATTCCAAGACACCTAATGTTGAAAACTGATGCATGTTTTATTCTAATCACTGGACTAAGAATTAGCATACTCCTACAACCTTTATTGACTCATGAAATTTTGAATCAAATAATATAAATAAAATAAGGACATAGTCAAAGTCAACTCCTCAACATCCAGATAAAATTACAAATGAAAATATACATATAAACTCTTCCAATAACGTATTTAAAACATACAAAGGGCTACAAACAGAATTTGGCATGTTCTATCACCACACTTCAAGTACAAATACACGAACCAAGACTGAAGATATGACTTGAAAGTGTGTGTCCCTCAAACACCTTGGTAGAAAAGGTTGTTTCAGAAATGAGAACACATTCCTACTTACAGTTGTAAATCATACAGCAAACTCAGTAATTTGTTTATAGGATAATACATAACTGCAAAACTGAAAACCTGACCACTCTCGGTGATGTTTGGAATTTACATTGACTACTTTTGAGAAAATTTGTAAGTTAATTCAAAGCTTGCTTGAGAAAAAAACAACTATTATTGGTTGTTTTTATTAGCAATAATTGTTTATTTTTTAAGGCAACAGAAATGTTATTTTTAACCATTAATTTAACAGTTATGTTAGTTGTGAAAAATCAATTTGAATACCAACTTCCAATGACACAACAAAAAAGTTGTACTAACTTCCTGTATAGACTAGACAGCTAAAAAAGACACCAAATCTGAACCAAAATAACATACAAAATGCCCCTATTTGCATGAAACATTCATCAAAACAACTAAAATGTTTGTCTGTTGCAGAAAAGCACTGCTTTAAGCTTTCTAATTTAGAAAAATTTTGAATCAAGCATGAGATAATTTTATTTTAAATGTTTACTTCATATATTCTTCTGGGTTCTAAATTGATTAGAGGATTTTTCACTTCCGTTTGCTATGTTCTAATGACTCACATTCAAGTGATTTCAAAACTAGGGACCTGGAAATCTCAAGGTATTTATATGATCCACAACAATTGGATCAAAAGTTAACAGCATTAACTTTTCCAAAGTGGTAACAGAACCTGAGAAAAACTGAAAGAACTTTTACTGGTTCGTATGTGGAATCACTTATCTGCCATCCAAAGGATCAGACTGTAATTTTTATTCAAGTTATTTTTTGTATTATTTTTGTTATTTTTAGTAATAACATTCTAAAAGACCTTTACTGGCATTGAACGGAACTGTGGAGTAACACTCCTTTAATTTAGTCAGCCATCACACCTCATTGCCTTTAAATTCCTTTGGCCAGGATTGCCAGAGTCACCCATCCAGGAGCTTGTGATATCTTGCATCACTTAATCTTAGTGACTTCACAGAGTTTTGTTAAGCAATTCAGCTAAGGATGCCAGCTGAATCACTTGGCTGCAAGTAAATTATAAAGTTATAACAGCAGCAATAGATAACAAACTGCCCAGACTCTTGGAGAAAACCCATTGTTGCCAATTGAACTGAAAAGATGTTACAAAGTTTCCTAAGGCTGCAAGGAAATCTTTCTAATCAATAGTCCTTTAAATGATATAAGGAAATAATAATGTAATTTGAACATACCACCTGAAGGCCTTTGATAGTCTCACAATATTAGATACTGAAGACCCTAGAGATCAAGTAGTTTCATCCTAGATTTAATGAGTTTTGGAAGATTAGTATGAATTCTTATATATTGTGTATATATAGACAAACACACACACTACTTTGATTTTCTATTCTGCACATCACACCAAGACGAGTTGTATATTTAAAATCAAAATGGATTTATCTCAATGGTCTCTTTGACCATTAATTCAAATAGCTTTTTCTTATGACCCTAAAATAATTTAAGCCAGAAAACCTGAAAACTTGAAACTGATAATTACTTGAAAGTCTCTTTATGATTGATGAAATATCTTAATATTACTTTCAAAGACAACCAGAGAACAATATGTGGACAAATGCTGCTTTGCGAGTTGAAGCAACTGAAGACTTGATATGCTCATGAAGACAACACTGACACATAACCTGAAAACACAATCCTGGAGCTGAAGTCCTGGCATTAATGAGCCACAGATGGATAAAGCTTGCGAAATTGAGTTCCAAGTGGGCCAGCCTGGAGGATTGAACAACAATTTCTCATCACTCTGACTCACTTTAATAATAATAATAATAATAATAATAATAATAATAATAATAATAATATTTATAGAGTCACATATACAATTACAATCGTGTATGACTAGTCAATATGATGTCTTGGGTGGAGAGAGAGAAGTTACATTACTGTTCAGGAACAAACAAGGGACCATCTCAGCATTTAGTGGGACAGCGGGACTTCAATAACCTGATAAAAAATCACTCATTTTGGAAATATTTTTATCTCAGATTTTTCTCTTATTGATAAAAATATGACATTTTAAAACTAATGGCGCATTTACAAGTGGACTCAAATTTTACTCTAACAGATAGAATAATAATTAAGAATTAATATTTTGACTTGTCAACTTGAGAAACAGGTCAGGCCAGATTACGACAATTATTATGACTATTCAGAAAATGTTAAAATTGATTATGACAATTATATGTTAAAATTCTCATGAACTATCTTTTGTCATGAAAAAAAAATTGCTAGGAAATATAAGTTCGAATGCCTTTCTTTTTCAAAATAATTCTGACACATCACAGTTCTTTTCATTGCATTGATAATAAGTAATACCACATGTGCTTTGGAAATCGTCAATAAATCCCTGACTTGCGAAGCAAGGAGAGGATTTACCTCTGCTATGAGGAATTTTCAAAGCAGGAGTGGTAATTCATACTCTACGAATAAATTATGTCCAACAGGGGTCCAAAATACACAAAATATTGAAAATAAATGAAAACATGTTAAAATCAGAGAGGTTATGTTATAGTACATACATGGTTGATTGCACATTACCATAATGATCAATACATCGCAGCTTATTATTGGCCAGTAGGGAGAGGCGATAATAAAATTGGATACAAAAAGCAATAACTTTTTTGAGATACATTGCCCTGATTGAGGTATTTTATATGTGTAGTTAAACGTTATTGGTTAATTTCATGAGGGGAATTGTCAATATAAATATTTGATTTCACAAAACTAAACACTGCAATAGTTTTTACCTGAACCCTAATTTGATAGTGAGATGAGAACAATAATCATCAATAGTAAACCAAGGTATTTGGCATCTCAGTAATAAATAATTACAGTAAATGAAATTGCTAACTAAAGGTGGTATTGTAAAACAAATGTTAATATCTATAAATTATAATTACTAGATTCAAAATTTCTATCTGGAGAAAACCAAGCTTGAAAATTTGCAAAAAATCACAAGATTAGCAACATTCTAAAAAACAGACACGAATGAAAGAATCCTAAAATTATATTAACTGAAAAATGTCCATGAGAAGGCGTACAATGTTTGTGCCATTTGCCAAAGGTTTTGAAGATAGAAACTAGGATGTGATTTACGCGTTGCCAATAAGTGTATCACTTGAGGTAGCCAATGACTGGCAAGTAGTGTCTGCCACTGTGTAAATGGCTTGTTGCTACGGGCTGGAGAATGAGCAGTAACTGGCAGCGTGAATGACTCTAATAAAGTAATAATTCTCTGATATACTGCTATCTTTATACAGATGTAATTATTTTCACTTGTGGGCCACCAGGCTTTGACTTACTCAACTACTTACAACTGGCATGAACACTGTCGTTACATCACAAACAGAAGGCATTATCTAGAAAAGTAGCTCAACTTGCATGTCAGCTCAGCACCGTGAAAACAGCTACTGCCTGTTGTACAGAACACCAGTGCTATTCTTGTGCTAGCAGTGGCTCAACTGGCCACCCAAAAATTAGCATCATGGGAATCAATTGTTAGAATTTTTACTCCTAAATCAACACATGAAAATCAAACTAAATATATTTTTTAATTAAGTGATGTGCCTACTCTATTTACATATCTAAGAAATAGTGCAACTATTTGCCATTTTTATATATTTAATAAGTGTTCTTTTATGAGAATCATTGTCATCAAATCTGTAGAGATAACACCCAAATCACAAAAGCACCTTTTACTCTATCTGGATACAACTTTCATCAAAAGCAAATAAATACAAAACAAGCCATTTGTCTACGCTTTCCCTCTACCTGCCTTTTTATTTCCATTTTACCCGAAAATTTGTATTAATTCAAATTTCTTACATAGTGAAATAATACACATGGGTAATAATTAACAAAAATAATACTTCATAAAACTTACCTATACCACCTGGTAACTACTTGATGAGTATAAATCCTATTGGGAGAACCAAAAAATTTGGCTAAACCAAAATCACCAATTTTAAGAATACCATTACTATTAACAAGCAAGTTATTTGGTTTCAAATCCTAAAACAAGAAATTAAATAATACAATTCAAATGTTAACTAATGTAATTGCAAATAAAATGAACATATAAAAATTATAATTATTTCATAATTTGAAATGATAACTAGGATGGCATGAATGATAAAAATGTATAAACAATAAGAAAACTGAACTTACTCGGTGTAAAATCCAGTTCATATGTAGATACTCCAACCCTTGCAATGTCATCAACACATATGCTTTAATATGAGCTGGAGTTAAAACAATAGAGTTATCTTTTATTATAACTTCCAAATCTGTATCCATAAAATCAAATACCAATGAAACATTAGATTTATGGCCAAAAACATCTACAAAAAACAACAAAAAACATGAATGAATGTCCGAATAAAATGTTCAAAATTAAGAATAGAACGTAACTGTATGTATTCATGTACCCATTAAATTAATAATATTTGGATGCTTCAATTCTTGAAGTAGTTTGACTTCTCTTAGAGCTGTTCTGTTAATGCCATCTTTCGCTTCAGCACGACTTCCAAGTTTTATCTACATTGAAAACAGGAATCAGAAATGATAGTAGGATAATATTTTACTTTTAATCCTTTTTGTCATCCAACATTACCTTTTTCACAGCAACAATGTTATCATGGTGAATATCGCGAGCTTTATACACCGTCGCAAACTGAAAGATGTAAATGTCACATTAGTCCCGTGCAAAGCCACTCTCAGATCATGTTGTTGTTAACCCACCTGCCCTTCACCTAAAAATTCCACTTTCTCATAGCGCTTGGTTTTATCTTCCATGATCTCAGTGTACTGTCTTAATCTTCCTGATTTAATAAACTTCGCGCAAATGATCACACAATCATCTTTCCAAATCTGACACTGTCTTATCCTGGCCGAAGCACATTTATCCGTTTTGTAACACCCAATCTGTTTGAAATGTGGTCTGATGTGGTCCAGGATGTGGTAAACATCTGTTAGTATTCTACACGGTGTAAGATACACCACCGTGGACCAGTGTGACAGTAGTAGAGATGTGTCGTTCGCGAACGAATCACTTCGCAAGAAATTTTTACACCATATGTTAGAGATATCCAGAATGATATTTTAGATTTAGATTAAGATTTACATTTATTTAGTCAAACAACAACAAAAATCTGTATGTGAGGTATGGGGAAGGAGATCGGGGTAAGGTAAGGGCAAGTTACTATTTGTTAACAATGCAGAAAAATCATACTTGCAATTCGTTTACCGATGCAAATAAGTTTTCTATAACACGGGAACAAAAATGTCTATTTGTTCAAATATTTCTAACCAGGAGCTTTTTTAAAATTTATTTTTATTTATTTATTTTAAACTTTACCTCATTTTGCAACTATGTATAATGACGGAAAGGGATTATGGAACTCAAGAAAATGTGCGCAGAAAATCATCTCCCCATTCGTCACTTACAGTTTTTACTGTTTTTTTTTTTTTTTTTACTAAATAAATGTAAATCTAGTATACAAAAAATTTTGTTACCTTAACATCAGCTAATTGCATATTGTTAATTTTCAATGGAACATGCGATTGCTGATTTGAAATGCAAAAATGCATTGAAATTGTTTTCCTTCGTTAACTATTAATTTGTTATTTCAAAACCAATTTGAAACTTCTAAAATCGTACCATTTATTGTTTCTTTTTTGCAAAAAACATTCGTGTCATAAGCAAACAATCATGCTTCCGGTTTTAATAGACAACGGCATATCGTTTACATACAACAAAAAGAGAATAGATCGAACCTTGCGGGACCGAATAGTAAGTTGGTAAATAACAGGAAAGATAAGAAAATAATGTTCTTTCGTGTCAGTACGGTATTTCTACACCTTGAGATCGATGTTTAAGGTACGAGGTTGTCCATTCTAGGGCAATACAACTTTTGGCGGGAAAGTGTAGGATGGCAAGTTCTTGTGTGAGTTTCGTAGAGCGTTGTTAGTTGTTGGTTGTATTGTGCAGTCGCTGAAGTTTATTTCTTGTTACACTTGTTATTTACAGGGTTATTTGTTTTATTTTTGTATTGATTAGGTATCGGATGCACATCTCGTTCAAAAATTTGACTTTAAGAAGCATTATTATATCAAATCACTACCATCTCATTACGAAATTGGTTCGAAGTAAATATTACTATGACCTTAGTTAATATTCCAAGGTGCTACTTTGTAATAAAATGAAATATATGAAAAAATGGATCTCTGAGCTCTTTCAATGGATATGGAAAGTGCGAAGTTCACGAATTTTGGGCCCCTGTGCTATTCGAGTAGGAAGAGGTGAGAATAAGAAAGGGCAAGGAAAGATCGCGCGTAGTCCGTGGCTCGTTTGTTAGGATACATGTCCGCCATTCACCTGGTATTGATTTGAGAAAGCCGGAAAACTAGAATTCCCCTCCAGACAGCGACTGAATTCGACTTAGCTGTCTAGCTGCTTTCTAGAGTTAAAAACCCGCCACCGTCGGGACTCGAAGCTAGGACCTCGCTGTCAGAGGCACTGCAGTGACATCAGTTGATGTCCTGAGCCACCTCTCCTGGTACAAAAGTTCAAATTTATTTTCGAACGTGTCCTACATTTTCAGCATTAAAGCGAGAGATTTCTGATGTGATGCTTGAGTAGTTGAGAAATAATACAAAGAGGAGGGGGAAAATCATTTTATTCGCCGCGGAGTGATTCGCCCGTGATCTTGAAAGGCTGCGTGGGACTAAACCAGGCGAAGGGATCGGAATCGGGTTTTTGCGTCTAGAGATCAGTCCCGAAAGAGGCCTTCATGATCCCCGAAATGTGATTCATAAAATACTAAATCTTTGGCACGTAGCACAAGTCGCGTAAAAGAGGTCCCCAACAGCAACAACGCAGCTGAACAAAACTACACAAAATGGTCTTTCAAAAAGTAGCACCCACACTGCTGAAGAACAATAAATAAAATACTCTCGTATTGCAGTTCTACAAATTAAATATTTTAACAAAAACAGTATACAATACAACAGTTCGTTACACATAAAAAAATGATAAATTTTGCTGTTCCATAACGCAACACTTTAATAGCAAAAATGTAGGGGGACTATCTCTTCCTTGGAGCCTTGCTGACATGACGCTGGTTGTGTCGTAAGCAGTGACGCACTGAGTATGAGAATTCGGTGTGTGGGCGCATTATGAGAAAAGGCGAAATAACACACTCAAATATATGCTTTTTCAGCGAAAATCGATTTTTTTTGTATTTTCCTTTCTTCCCGGGACGCTAACGAAACCAGTGACAACTCCCACATGATCAGAGGCAGCATAATTTGCTATCAATTTCTGCACGCATTGGTAATCTTATAAGAGAAAATTTATTTTATACCCTGTTGTACCATTCATCGGATTGCGATAAAACTGTGTCAACTTAGTGCTTGCACTTGCGCGAAGGATAATCGTAAAATCGTAAAGTGGGCATGCGCCTATGTCTGTCACACATAGACTAATAACGATGATTTTATGCGTTTAAGCCGACTCAAGCGCCCCTGTACAGAAATTATACGCAACTCGCCGCACCCTCGAGTATTAAGCGTGTCTTCGCTTCATACTCTGCTCCTGCGATTGTGAAATATCGGCCGGAATTATTACTTGAACGATATCTCACACAAATAGAGGAAGAAAATACACGGTGGGGCACGGTATACATTGATCCACCATTGAAATTTCGCGTGTAAAATATATGACTGCACTGCTGATATCCAGTATGGCCGTTAGGGTTCAAGGTGAAGTGTTATGCTACTGCTAGCTTTTCCTGACGTCAGAAGTTATTTTTGTTTCAGTTTCTGAATCAAATTACAAAACTTGAGGCTACAAATTTGTTTTTTAATTTGTAATGTAGTCGAAAGTATCCATTTAGGTGTACACCCCAGTTGTTACCTGTGATTTCAAATGGTTATATTTCTTGTGTTGGATGAATACTTAATAACATGTGCAAAGTACGCAGTGGGACAACAAGCAAAGGTACACAGTGGAACCGTCCCACTATGTATCGCTGTATTCGTAATCAATGATGTCACATTAACTATTTCATCAAGTGTCCTGTGAGACAACCTTTAATGAAATTATCATTGTTTTATATGCCACGAAAGTTGAAAGAGCGAAAAATTGCCAAATTTACAGAAGACATGAATCTGGCAGTGGGATTTGAATTAGAAGGTGAATCTCTTAGACGAGCAACACGGCGTTTTGGTGTTTTAAAAACAACCCTTCAGCGTTATGTTACAAAAACAAGAAGTCTGTAGGCGAAAGAAACTCACTAGTGTACACTGGGTACCACCCGCGATACACAGCGGGACACGTGAGGTTTTACTCAAATACTTAAATGCATTCAATTTGAAAAACTTGTAGGCAACTTAATTTTTTGCATAGTGTTTAAATAAATGCTTTATACTTTAAAATTAAAATCAACCAGTATTTATTAAAATTGAATCCGAAATAAAATCCAAACTTGTTTCATCCCACTGTGCACTACCTTCACCTAAATCAAATTTCTCCCAGACAGTGTCGTGGGGAACGCATGCCCAAATTTAAGGGAGAATGTTTTAACAATGAAATAATTGACAACCATCCAAACCAGGACATAGAACATATCCATACTCCCGATGGATCACGTGACCAGTAGGGTGTAATTCATTACAATAACGAAGCATTTTGGGGTCCACTAATTAGGAATATAGATAACACTAACGTTTTCAAAGTACTATTTGCCTTGATTAAGATTCGTAAGCGGATAAGATTGCAAAATAACGTGTTAATAATTTTGAAAATATTTTTGAGTGAAGGGTAATAACGTATTTTGATAAGGTGAAATATTTAGATCCCATTCACGTGCTTCATTTTTCGAAGGAGTCTAGGATTGTGGCGGACGCTCGCAAGTAGACGTCGTTTCTGGAGCCTAGGCAACCACATAGCGCACTGTCGCTTTTGCTAAAACTCTGCAATCAAAAGGTAGCGTGTAAATTGAGCCTTCCCATCTGCCAGCAGTTCTATGAAGTTTTCAAATCTTAATTTTGGTGCCTTGGTTAGACAGATACTTTTCACTTGCTCGCCTTACGAATTCTTCGTAAGAAAAAGTTATGTAATCGTGCGGTGGAAAACGATGAATTTTCGCCAGAGAAAGTATTGTTGTCGATCTGTTTCTACAATCTACGTTTTGTTAGTTCTTGATACCGAAAATTCGATTGACGGGAAAACATGTCTGGACAACGCTAGCAGCTAAACCGTTCAGCTGATTTTCTCCAAAATTGATATTCCTCAATCGATCTGGCTGATGTCGCGGAACTTGGATTTTGAAATCGATTTTTTAATTTTGGGGTATACTTTACATGAAGTCCCTCAGATTATTTCAAAATTTCAAAAACAAAAAATGATTCAATTTTTTAAATAAAGTTTTATTATTCAATGGTGCGAAAGGCATTTAAGAGAATGTTGCAGGTCTAATTTTCGGCAATATTCCCTATTTTTTGTTGCAAAATTGTAAAAAAATACCTAGAAAATTGACCACATAAGTTTTTCTCAGATAAAGTCTGTTGCACTTAGGTCTTTAAAAAAGTCATTTTGTAAAAGTTAGTAGTTTTCGTGAAATATGCGCTTGAAATTGATGACATTTTTCCAAAAATTGCTCCAAACTTTTTCTTTAAATTTTCTTCACATATGTAACAAGGCATCGTAAGAAATGTGATGCTAGTTCCATTTTCGGGTATTGCTCGCAGACACAAGCTTTCATATAGCAAATATTTATTTACAATGAAAACAAACAAATATTTACTATGAATTTACACTTTACACCCTATCTCTGATAGACCTGCTATCCCCTGATCGCGGGAGCGATTCCAACCCGATTGATGATCGGTTTCAATTGTGGCCTTCGCCACTCCTACATCTGAAGCGCGCACAAAGCCAAGTGACAGGATGTTACACTGGAACACAAAGTCCGTACCGGCGTACCAATTAATGGTTTGCCTCAATCGCAGGAGCGATTTCACCCGACTGAGAATCGGCTCGAGTCGTGGCAATCAACCACTCCTCATCTCGGA